GACAGCTCTTGGAAGCTTCTTGCCTCGTCATCCTTTGCCTGAGACATGAGCAAAAAAAGCCCTAGCTGCCATGCAGAAGAAGGGTCCCCCCCAGCACAGGGAATGCCAGGAACCCAAATCCCCGTTGTTAGGCACTAGAAAGATAGGGTCCTGCCACAGATGCCTCCAGTCAGGGGAGCCTTGGCCTGCAGGCATCCTGGCTTCTTCTGTCTACCGTAGAGCAGCCACCCGTGGGGACCAGCAACTTCTCATGGGGAAAGGCTGTGTACAGAGGGCAACAGGAGCCAAGAGCAGGATATGGGCAGCGCTGACAGCTTGTTATCCTGGCCTGGGATCTCAAGTCATCATGACACCAACAACCCAGGGTGTGGTGTCTGGGCCCTGGTGCCCCTGTGGCTGAAGGTGGGGCTGAGAGCCCAGCTCCCCTGCAGCACCACCTGTCCACAAAGAGTCTTCCAGACTAATTCTCACTTGTCCCTAAAGCCTCTCGTCTGCTGCCTCCTCCAGACAGGAGCAGGAACTCCCTCCACGTCACAGTGGTGCAGAGCAGATGCTGGAGGCGGGATAGGGACTCTGAAAGCAGCTCGGACTCAGGCGAGGCAGCCTGCCATCTGGTCCCGCCCGGCCACTCGGCCCTGTGCATATGTCTCCTCTTCGGGGCTGACAAACAGGCCCCTGTGGTGTGCATCCCATCACTGTCCCCATCTCACAGATGGAAATACTGATGGGACTCCCCCTGCACCTGCTGGCACAAACCTGCCACCTGGCCATGGGACAGACACCAAGCAGGGAAAGCAGAGGTGAGGGAGGTAAAGGAGATGAAGGAGAAGCAGAGAGGGGAGGGCTCTGACAGAACAGAGGACTAAGTCAGGCCAGGGCCAAGTGACTGCTTGCATTTCTGTCCCTCCCGGGGTCCTCATGTCCCCCTGTGCACCCTGACGCACACACGCACACATGGCAGATGCTGGCCAGGGGCCCCTACAGGGGTGGAGACAGGGATGGGGAGGGCGGGCCTGCACGCAGTGCCCGTGCAGAGCTGATCATCCTGCTGGGCTGTCTGGGGATGATTCAGGGCCATCCTCGCCGCTCCCAGAGGAGACACCAGCTACTTAAGTCTGACAGGGGATTTGAGGAATTGCTACTCTATTTTTACACATTTATTTCTTTGCATTTCCAACAAGCAGGGACAGCTCACCTTCAGAACCACCTTGGGAAGCAGAAAAATGGTAATTTCCATTAAAAAAAAACCTCTTCCCTGGGGAAGAGGCTAGATGTTACCCTCTGCCCCTGTCAAGCCCAGGGTCACTGATGGGTGGTCCCTAGGTGAAACCAGCCATAGAGGTGCTTATTAGGGCCACATGACATTTTAAAAATAACTCATTGGGTTGACAGTATTTCAGAATTGCAAGATTTTGTGTTAAAATCTAGAAGAGCCATCTTCTCTTGAGGAATTAGGACAGGGGGGTCACAGGTTGGGGGCAGGTGATGGGCAGGTAACACTGGGCTGTGGATCGACAGCCATGCCTGGAGGTGGGACACATGGGGCCCATGTCCCCAGGCCACCTGACCTGCTGCTGTCACTGCCCTCCTGGCTCCCAAAGGCATCAGAGTGTGCCCCTGATCCTGGGAGTTGTCATGCAGTGACCCCTCCCAATGTTCCCCATGGGTGGGAGGGTTGAAGGGGCTGCCTCTCGGCCAGAGCTGGCTGGGACACATCTTGTAGCCAGATCTGCCAGGCAAGCACAGTTTTTAGCGAAATTTATGTTTCAGGTCCATGAAAAACAGCAACCTTTTCTAAAGACACAACAGAAATGCCAATTTCACCTCAAGCATAATTATTACTGTTATAGTTATTACTTGGATCATGAGTATTTGGGGGATGACTTGGACGTTCTAGAATCCCTTCCCCCAAGCCCCAAGCCCTGTAGGGATGCCCCAAAACCAAAGGTCAAAGTGCCGATGGGGAGAAACAGGTGACATCCCTGCCTCTGGAAGCCTCAGCCCTGCTCAGACCTGGCAAGACCTACGGGAACACATCCCCAAGATCAGCAGGGTCTGCCAAGTCCCTAGGCCTAGGGCCACATGAGCACTGATAGGACCCAGAGGCCAGGCTGAAATCTCTTCCACTGTCAATCTTAGATGTCTCCTCAGTTTCCCTACAACGGGCTCTATCCTGAAGCCCGGGCCGTGCAGAGACCCCATCCTGGTTTCAGCAGGCCTGTTGCTCAAGCCAAGTCCCACTGTAGGGATTTGTGGCCCCCTGAGGGACAAGTGGCAGGCTCCTGTCTGATCCTGGGTCAACTGCCTAGTAATCCCCCGATACCAACACTGGTCTTCCTGACCTGTCCCTGTGCACCAGGTTGCTTACTTGGCCTAAAGGCCTTTGCTCCTCCTGGTCCCTCAGGGTTGGAGGTGGGCTCCTGGCCACTCTCCCCTCCTCCCTTTGGAGCTCCTGCATGCTTACAGCCCATGTATGAAGCTACAGTGACACAGAGCTCACCCAGCCCTTTGTTCCATCCGTCATTACTGGCTCAGACCAGGATAACAAGCTGTCAGCGCTGCCCATCTCCTGCTCTTGGCTCCTGTTGCCCTCTGTACACAGCCTTTCCCAATGAGAAGTTGCTGGTCCCCACGGGTGGCTGCTCTACGGTAGACAGAAGAAGCCAGGATGCCTGCAGGCCAAGGCTCCCCTGACTGGAGGCATCTGTGGCAGGACCCTATCTTTCTAGTGCCTAACAACGGGGATTTGGGTTCCTGGCATTCCCTGTGCTGGGGGGGACCCTTCTTCTGCATGGCAGCTAGGGCTTTTTTTGCTCATGTCTCAGGCAAAGGATGACGAGGCAAGAAGCTTCCAAGAGCTGTCCCCAGTTTTAGAGTCTCCAGAAGGGATCAGGCAGGATGCCTCAGAGAATCAGGGACAGGATGGGAGAAGGGGAAACTGAATTGCATCCAGGGAATGCCAAAGCACCCGCCCTCCAGGGGAATCAGTGGGTCGCAGAGGCCGAGCTCACCCACAGCCCGTGGAGCACAGGGTGCTGCCTGCACCAAGCCCCGCATTTGGGGGTGGGGACAGGGACAAAGCTCTGCCACCCCAGCAGCCATCTGATCCCCACTGCAAGGAGGAGGCTCCCCACTGTCCTCATTACTGTCCCCAGTTTAGCATCAAGGAATCCCAGGAGCAGAAAGATTAAGTGACTTAGACAAGCCACTCAGCCCAGGAGGAGCTGGGGCCCAGCCCGGGGCCATGGGATCCAATGTTGTTAACACGCCCCGGAGAGGTCCCCATACTTTGCCAGCACTGAGGGATGAGTTGGGGAAACTGAAATTGGCAGAAACAAAAACGTTTAACCTGGAGAAGAGAGACCCTGGGTCCTGAGTCTGCAAAGGGCTCAGAAGCATCGTGTGGTAGATGCTGGTTCTGTAGGTTCAAGGGCGCCTGTGTGTTTGCTGTCCTGGGGGTTTGCAAATCCCACAGGGAGGACTTTGCCACGCTGACCTCTTCACCTGGGATGCCCTCTCTGCTGCTGCTACTCCAGCTCAGAGGTGGCGCTCCCCATCAAGCCCAGCAAGGGTCCTCCAAAAGGCCCACAGGGAAGGGGGTCCACGGCCCTCCAGCACTGGCCTCAGGGACACGTTTGGTCCCCATCTGCCTGCCCCACAGAGCTGGCTGCACATCTACGGGGGATGGGGTGCACGGAGTCTTGAGAAGACCCTTCTCAGTGACAAGAGAAGACTGTTGTCCTCTATCCATGGAATGATTGTCCCCTCATTTCTCACTGGACCTGCTCCTTCTCATCCTTCACGTGTCAACTGAAATGTCACCTCCTCAGGGGGACTAAGCCTGAACTCTAGTCCAGGGTGGGCTCCAGGCCTGGTGGGAAAAGAGAAGAGAACCAGAGCAGATGCCACAGCTGTGCTGACGGGGAGATGCCATTTTCGGCTCCTGGGCCTGACAGAGCTCCAGGCCCTTGGGACCCTCAGCTGAGGCCCCTTGGACCCTCTCTCCCACCCCAGGCAGACTGTGGAGTCCTTATCCCTGCACAATTCAGTCAGGCAACCACCCATCTCCTCAGCCTGTGACAAGGAGTAGACACAATTTACCGGAGAGAGAGAGGGGAGAGGAGTGCCTATGGGTGGTCTTGACCCTGCACAGGTGTGAGTGGGCCTTGTCCAGAGATGAGGGGCCTTGCCTTCAGTGGAGGCAAGTTCTGGAAGAGGAGCTGCCTAAGGAGATGCTGTGGGACACACACCACCAGGGCTGGTCCTTCGTCTCCCTGGTTTTTTTTGTTTTTTGTTTTTTTCAACGTTTTTATTTATTTATTTTTGGGACAGGGAGAGACAGAGCATGAATGGGGGAGGGTCAGAGAGAGAGGGAGACAGAGAGTCGGAAACAGGCTCCAGGCTCTGAGCCATCAGCCCAGAGCCTGACGCGGGGCTTGAACTCACGGACCGCAAGATCGTGACCTGGCTGAAGTCGGACGCTTAACCGACTGCGCCACCCAGGCGCCCCTCGTCTCCCTGGTTTTAACGTGGTGGCCACACTGGGAGACCAGCCTTTGGGCACCTGGGCGGCCCTTCTTGGGTATTCAAGTGTGTGAATGGATGGAAAGAGCTGGCTGTGGTCATGCACACTCCTAGCTGGGCAGCCCAGCTTCTTGGCCTCTCCATTCACTGCTGGGTTCCAAGCCTGGTCTCTGTGATGGCCAAGGAGTTGGTTTGCATGCTGCTGGGTCTGAGCCCACTTGACACTCACTCTGCCCTCTCTGAATCTCTGTCCGTTCCTCTGTAAAATGGGGACAGTTCAGGTGCTGTGAGTTTTCAACAAGGTGATGGCCAGTCTGGTGCCGAGTGGTATCCAGGTGGGGTTTTCCTTGTTTCAATGTACCTGGCAAGCCTGGGCTGCTACTGCAGATTGTATCCTCTGTCCTTTCAGGGCCCCCCCCGGGCAGCCTGGATAACCTCAGCCGTGCCCTGGGTGTCCTGGAGGAGCGTGTCAATGGCTCGAGGCGCAGAGCGAGAAGGCACGCTGCAGATGGTGACTACAACATCGAGGTTCTGCTGGGTGTGGATGACTCTGTGGTCCAGTTCCATGGGAAGGAGCATGTGCAGAAGTACCTGCTCACGCTCATGAACATCGTAAGTGGCAGTCGATGGTGGGGTGGAGCAGTGGGGCTGCTGGAAAGGTCACCATATCAGCCTGTGGGCAAGACCTCCCAGGACCCCAGTGCAGAGGTAAGTCAGGGGCAAGAGGATTTGAACGAGCCAATTGCTGGGCAGAGAGACCCCTGCCCATCTGTCCACCTTCCTCTCCACCTGCCTTACGTGAGTCATCGACCCTCTGGAACTCAGCCCTTTCATCCCCAAAGTGGGGCCAAAGTCAGGTTTGCAGAGCATATTTTAATTAATTAATTAATTAATTTTGGAGAGAGAGACAGAGCATGAGTGGGGGAGGGGCAGAGAGAGAGGGAGACACAGAATCCAAAGCAGGCTCCAGGCCCTGAGCTCTGAGCTGTCAGCACAGAGCCCGATGTGGGGCTTGAACTCATGAACTATGAGATTATGACCTGAGCCAAAGTAGGACGCTTAACAGACTGAGCCACCCAGGTACCCCAAGCATATTTTATTTTGGAGACTGTTGTCGTGTTTAACCTCATCTCGTTTTTGAAAAGTGCCTTTGATGTAGTAATAATAATTATGATAATAATAATAATAATAATAACAATGAAACAACCACGATGGCTACAATCATTGAGCTCTTACTGAGTGACTATGTGCCAGCCCCTGTAGGCATGCATTATCTTAGGCAATCCTCACACTAATTCTGCAAGACTAGTAGATATAAAATCTTGCCTGCCTTGAACATATGTGCACTTCCCCAAGAATTACACTGCCTTCCAACCCGGCTGAAAGTCCTGCTGAAGGAAAACTCTCTGTTTTCCATACTCACACCAGCTCTTCTGACACCATATGTGTGGGTTTTCCATAACAACTGCTCCCGACACTACCCAGAGTTAGCACGGACCCCACGGGGTAAGGGCTCAGTCCCACAAGACTGGCCTCACTTCGGATGCCACTCACAAGTCCTGGGTTGTCACCTGTACAACCTGGTCGGAAGACCCAACCAGCCATAAATCAAGGGTTGCCATGACTCCCTCCTCGGGTTCAACTGTTTGCTTGGTTCAGTTCACAGAACTCAGGAAAACCCTACTTACTGTCACTGGTATATTATAAAGGATGCAACTCAGGAAGAGTCAAATGGAAGAGATGCATGGAGCAAGGTAGGTGGGAAGGGTTGACAGCTTCCCTGCCCTCTCCGGGCACACCACCCTCCCAGCACCTCAGTGTGTTCACCAACCTGGAAGCTCTCAAAACTCCATGGTTTACAGTTTTTCTGGCAGTGTTATTGGCCATGGTGACTTGGTCGTCTTTCTCCCTAGGAGCCTGGGGCGGAAGTGGGGGGGGGGGCAGTGCTAAAAGTTCCAACCTTCTGATCACCCAGTTGGTTCCTCTGGCAACTGGCTTTCCCCATCCTGAAGCCATCTAGGTCCCACCAAGAGTCACCTCATTAGCATAAACTCAGGTACCCTTGAAAGGGGCTTATTATGAATAATAAACTTCTCCTGTCACCCCTGTCACTTGGAAATTATAGGGTTTAGGAGGTCTGTGTCAGGAACTGGGGGGAAGAGACCAGTAGATATTTATTATTATGTCACACTTGGGTTAGTTAACTCCTAGCCCCACCATTAACCTGGTGTGAAGGGTCCCTCTGACACACATACCTTGTGCTGCATGAGCCAGTAGGAGGAAGTCTAGAATTTTTCTCGGTTTTGCCAGTTAACTTCAGTTTATTCATTTCCACCTTCATGATCTGACTGTATCCCAACTTTGGGTAATAGGATGGTTTGGTTAGTTTCTTGAAAAGCCTGAAGAATACAAAAATTCCTAAATTGAAATGTATTTTATCATAGCCAAAGAAAAAAGTGTTTTATGACATAAATTGGAGGAGCTGAGGAACAGTAGTTGGGCCGTGTCTTTTTTCCCTGTGGCACCCAGCAAGCATTTATTGGACACATGCTTGTCCCAGGGCATGGCAGACAGCCTGGGGCTCAGAGACAAGGGGGGGGATGTCTGCCCTTCTAATCTGAGCTCTGCCTCCCAGTGTAGTCAGGGAGATGAAGCACCCTGTTTGAGTGCGTGTTGCCCTGACAATTAAGACCCTATAAGGCACTGTGTCCTCATTTAGGGCTGTGCACACCCAGGACAGAGTCCCTGGGGGCTGATGGAAGTCATGCCTCTTTGGTGGTCTTGGGGAGGAGGGAGATGGAGAAATCATGAATAAGTGAGAAAGGATGACCTTCCAGGGCAACGCTGTCCCACAGAACCTTCTGCAGTGCTGAGAATGCTCAAAATTCTGCCCTGCCCAATGTGGCAGCCACTAGCCAACGCTTGAGCACTTAAAATGTGGCTGACACGATAGGAGAACTGAATTTTAACCTTATTGATGTTCAGTGGAGTTTTAAAATTTTAACTTAAAAAAAATTTTTTTAAAAAAAAATTTTTTTTTTCAACGTTTATTTATTTTTGGGACAGGGAGAGACAGAGCATGAACGGGGGAGGGTCAGAGAGAGAGGGAGACAG